ACTTTAACAAAATATTGCAATAATAATCATAAATATGAATGCTGGTTATTCTTTTAAGAAGTTTGTACACAGGAAGACGGGTAATTCAGGCAGCATTCAGAGATTTTGATGGTGTGTTCTTCGGCCTACCAGTGTTGTACATCTGTAGTCCCACTGTTGGCTTTACCTGTCTTGGAACTATTAAAGATTTGCTCCATACCATTCTCAAAGATGGTTATGTTCCACACTAGTTCAAACAAAAAGTTAAGAAGGAAGCCCTTACCAATACTGGAAAGAATAATAACAATGGACTTGAGGAACCTATTTTCCTGAAAAAAACTGTTTTTGGAGAAAGTGTTTATAAATTTAAACCAAAAAGAGTTCCAGCTGCTCAATCAATAAATGCTGAATATTTCCAGTTAAAGAAACAGTTAATATTACCATTAGAAATGAGGAGAACAGATACAACGGCCCAATAACCAGGGGGTGTTACCGACTGCTTGGTCAATGAATATTTCCATATGAGAAAATGGCTAATATTAACATTACCATGAGAGATGATGTGAACAGATACTACAGTTTGATCCCAGCCCAATAAACAGGGAGTAGCATTGTCTGCTTGGTCAATGAATGCTAAAGGTGTCCTTATAAGAAAATGGCTAATATTACCATTATTATTAGAAATGAGGAGAACAGATACTACAGTTTGATCTCAGCCCAACGACCAGGGAATGTTCCTTGAATCGCATTTGAGCAGAAACACAATTGAGAGATAAAATGTAGTTTGTCTGCCTGAGGGCAGGTATTACACTTTGATCTCAGCCAGTTGGCCAAGGAAAAGCATAACTTTAGTAGCATTGTTTGGTCAATGAATACTGAATGTTTCCATATAAGGAAATGGCTTTATAATATTACCATTGGAAATGGGGAGAACAGATACTACACTTTGATCTCAGTCTGATGGCCATGGTGTGAAGAAAAGCCTAACTCAAGTTGTAATGGCTGCTCTGTCAATGATTGCCAAATGTTTCTTTATAAGGAAACGGCTAATATTACTATTACCATTTTTTGTGATATCAACAAACACTCGTTCCACTTTTGTAATGTCAATGAATACTCGTTGTCACTTTCATAATGCTCATTGTAGTAGAGACTTTGTAATCGCAGATACAACTATAGTAACGCTGTTGAACACTACTGGTGTTAGATATCCAAATAACACTTGCACTAATAGTACTTGCTTGATAATACTTGCTCGAATAGTAACCACCAAATAGTGATCTGAATAGTAATCTGTATTGTGATCACTATAGAGAAATAGTAAAGTGAATAGTATAGAGTAGAAATAGTGATCCATATAGTAATAGAGAATAGAATAGAAATAGTGATCAATTAGACACCATGCCAATTTCCATATATAGATTTCTATTACCATCACATGATCTAGTTATTCAAAATGGGATTGTCTGAGTTTTCTCTCTGGTGATTTGTGTTCAAACTACAGTGTTGGCAGCAATACTTTATTCCTATATAACACCATTACAAAGAGAACAGATACAACACTTTGATCTCAGATGGCCAGAGAGTGAAGAAAAATGTAATTTGAACAGCAATTGATGTTAAAAAGCCTTCAGTGTAACTTTCGGCATTTGTAGTAATTCTTCTAGGCTCAGGAGTGTTTGCTATGATTGAGTTTGCAGTAACACGGTTTGGTGGTCTGGCATGTAAACTATGTGACCTACCCAGCACAGAAAAAAGTGTTGGGTACATTAGTGACTTATAGTGTTTTTCTTTAAAGTGACACAGTAATCCTTCCCACATTAAACTGGTATGACAAGTGGTCATCAAAGAATGCCATAAGCCTTTGTTCCATTTGGGAAAACTGTCCAGTTCAAATCCTGGAGACAAAAAAGAGTAAACATTTTAAAGAATAAATGATGCAATAAAAAAAAAAATGACACTTTTAAATGTGAAATTTATTTGATTGCAAGAAAAATACAAAAAAAAAGTGAACACATGAGTATTTATACCAGAAATAAAAGAATAGAAAAATAAAGTAAACTCTTTATTTAAATATGCAGAGATTTACAACTTTCATTTGACTCTTACGGCAATAGGGCAAGTTGATTTTGGAATTGTTGTATTACATTCAAATTGAAAGTTGGGGTTTGACATCATAAATAACAACACAAAATATTTTTTATCAAATTGTTACCATTTTTTGAGAAGACAAGTTTAAAAATTAAGTTTAGGTTCAATATTATAGCATTGAAATTTAATTCAGATGATCCATGAAAGCCTTATGGCACATACTTATAAAATTTATAATTTCCTGAAGCTTTACAAATTATATATAGACAAGATGCATGACACAAACACATTACTAAATCATTGTGTCATCAAAATAAGACCTTCATTTACTTCAAAGGAAAATTATATTGAATAATTTAGTTATATTATGATGTAGTATGTTATACAGTGCAGTAGTTTTAGTGTGATTCTCAATAAACAATGCAAATTTAAAACATTTTGTCTTATAATTTGTGCCCGGCGGTATTATGGTGTTATATAGACCTTTAGCTATTTATATATGGTGGTATGGTGTTATATAGACCTTTAGCTATTTTTTGCTTTTATTAAATACTAGTAGTAGAGCCCGGCGTTGCCCGAGGATGTAACAGTAAGAGATAGATGAAATATCGACCATCATAAAGACTGAAAAATAAAATTGACAAAGATTATTGTTTAAGGTTGACAGACATGCATGTCTTAATTAGCTTTTTTTTGTTTCGTTTTTTTCTTTTTTTTTTTTTACGAATAAGTCAAACTCAAACTCAAACAAAAACATTGTTTTCAAAACGTTATGAGTCTACCGATTGAATAGAATTTTATTATAAACAATTGTCTTGTAAATGGAATTGTTAAAGCATTCTGAATGTAAAAATAAAGAAAAAAGTGTGCAAGATAATAAGAAACACTACCTACCAAAAAAAAAGTGAAGTTTTGTTGAAATCAGTTGAAAAATGTAGGAAATCCGATCCCATATATAAATGAACACACACACAAACAACCTGGGTTTTATAAGTATAACTTGATATGAGTTGTCCCCCTTTCATTCCCAACAGCGATGCCTTTTAATCGTGTTTTCAAATTGATTTCGTGCAAAAGCAAATGTGTTTTTCCAATTTTTGGCACTGTCAAAACCACCGCAAGGTAATTTTACATAGTCCTGTGAAGTTTTGTTGAAATCGGTTGAAAAATGTAGGAAATCCAATCCAATATATAAACGTACAGACACACACACACACACACAACCTGGGTTTTATAATAAGTATGATGATCTAACCAATCTTATTCACTGAGTAGCCATTTTTGTAATCTTTTACAAGTTTTTTATACAGTTTATTACTTATCGACTACAGTTAAAAAAAAAAATTGCATATTTTGCTTGTGGTGATTCATAATTAGAATTCTGGTTTAAATATATTTTCCATTCAATGTATCTAATACAAAAAATATGAAATTTATTTGGATTTATTCTTGAAATAGTAAAATTTTGAAGACAATTTGTAAGCCAAAACTTGTATAAATTAGGTATTTCTGTACATTTGTTTTCAGATGATCTTTAAAACTAAATTGGCTCAAAAATAGGTAAAAGCTATGAATCTAATTTTTGTTGTCAGTTCTTATCACATAAAACTACGGCTTTAAGAATTGAATGGTTTCAAAATTATCACAGTTTACATTTATTAGGAAATCTTGATAATACATAAAAGCCAGTATCTGTTGTTTTATAAAGCACAAAACATGTCAGTCTTGTTTATCTTGAAGAATGTAGACTGGATATGTCTTAAGTTATTTTGCAGACATAATCTCCAAATATGTCTGAATAAAATGGTACAAAAAAGAATCTTGATAATACATAAAAGCCAGTATCTGTTGTTTTATAAAGCACAAAACATGTCAGTCTTGTTTATCTTGAAGAATGTAGACTGGATATGTCTTAAGTTATTTTGCAGACATAATCTCCAAATATGTCTGAATAAAATGGTACAAAAAAGAAAAATTAATTTTTTTTTCTTCCTTTTAATCAATTCACTCCAAGCAAGGCAATAATGCCACTAAGACACAAAGGGCTACTGAGAGAGAAAGAAAATGGAAAGAGTTTTGAAAGAAATGGAAACCCATTCATAATACCAGAAACAAGTGATAAAACTCCACTCCTGTTCAAAACACCAGGGAGGAATGTGAACCAGATAATAGGAAAACCTATTTACTCCTATTAACCTCCAGCTTTCTTCATTACTTCTCTTTCCAATGCATTCTTTGGCGATGTCTCTCAATTACAATATTCTTTATTGTTAATTTCACTCAAAGTTGTTTTTGTTGCCATAGCAGGATATGACAACACAACTATGAAATTAAAATTCAGAAATCAGAGTCTCTTTCATAAACATTTTATAGAGCAACTGTAGTCACATACAGTGTGATAAAGTTTAAACTTTTTATTCCCGTTTTATTGTCCTCATCTTTGTTGTTGTTATCACAATATTTCAGCTGGTGTGCCCTCCAGGCTTCGTCACGTGTATATCAATCTGGGTAACCTACAGGGAATTCTGAACTGGACCCTTTTGTTTAATCAACAGGGAAGACCTTGTTCCACTGCTAACGTCTAGGGATATCTCATCTAGTTCATTTATCTTGTGATAACAAATATAAAATTTACATTTCAGGTAACATGAAAATAAATAGTATAAAAAATTTGTGACATTTGAACCCTTTCCAGGTAGACCAGCTGGCTGTGACTGACCATATTTCTTTTTCCTAACTGAATCCAATAACACCAATTGGGCATAGAGGCGTATATGCTACTAAATCAACCTGATTAACATAGTAGCTTTCATGCTTGGCAACATGCTTCAAAATTACTCTTGCCTCTTTAATAAATGTGTGACACTATGTGACACTGGTAAAAGGAAACAATTTAGAATATGAACTGGCATAAATGAAAAGGGTTAACACTACGTAATAACAAACTGAAAGAGAGAAGAAAAGACAGACCTGAAAAGAATGACTTTATTGGTTTTGGAAAAAGATATTATGAAAGGACCATCTGGAAAATTTAAACCCACAAAGTCTAAGGAGGAATAGAGTAGATACATTCAAAGTCAGTTGAAAATTTTGGAAACAGAAGCAGAAATGGAGAAATTGATTTATGTCTGCTTACTAAAATGGATGTTCAGAAAACACATCTCATGATTGCTAGATGAAAGAAGAAGTCAATTTAGATATAATATTTGGCAATTTTGAAGATGAAGGTAGAAACAAGAAACTGATTTATGCCTGTCTCTCAAAGAGTGGAAATGTAAAGAAATCGAGAAATAAGATTTTTTGAGATAAGAAACAAATGTGTAAGGTTCATAAGTACAATTAAGTGAACAAGATATGAAGACAAATATTGCTATTAGTGGGTCAAAAAAAGACAGCTAGTAAATTTCTGATTGCATAAACAAGACCAGAGACTGAGAAAAATTTGTTGTTGAAAATTAAAGATAATTGCAATTAATGACTAAAAGTCAAGACTGCCTTTTCACCTACACAGTTTAAAAATCAGATTTGTCAAAAAGACAGCTGAGGTGGCAGGCTTAGATGAGATACTAAGAGAGACAGAGGAATTATCTACACCCATTTGGAAGTAATGGTGCAAGGAATAAATAAAAGAAGGAATGAGTTGTATGGGCAGGCCAATACCTGCAACTATTACCAGGAAGAAGGAGGAGAGATAATTAATATTGCAAATCAGACAACAAAGAATTCTTGTTCAAATCAATACAGATTCGCAAACACTGTCAGCCCTCACTCTGGTCTTTAGTCAAAACCAATATAAGCAGTGCTTAAGTCACCAGGCAGACAGGCAAAGAGAGAAATGAGAGACACTGGTGTAGGGCAGACAAAGGTGGTACTGAGATTCATGTGACTTGCTGCCAAGAGAATCCCTAACTTTGATCCCTTTTCAAAGAATTAGCACTGATAAACAAAATGTCACTAAAGAGATTTTAGTGGAAAGGGTTAATTTTTGTTATATCAAAAACTACATAAACGAAATGGAAATTAACCTGAAGAATTTTATTCATTTTTTATTTTGTCTCTTTTATTTTTTCCCATCATAGCACAGCTAACTGTGGTTCAAATCAGTGCTACAGTTACTGATGATAATCAATCCCTATCCCTATTTAAAAAACAGAACATGGGCAGAACAAGGTGTGGACTGAGGCGGACAGTGACTCGTGATCATTGACTTGTGACAGTATCAAATAGTGTAGGATTGACTCTACAATCAACTTATTGTCTAACAACACTGAGAACAAAGACATCTGGTATAGGTGGCTTGTGGCAAGGGTCAGATCATTTGGTCACTGATGACCAGGCTGACCTAGAATTGACCAAGATATGATGTGTCATAGATGAAGAGAAGGTATGCTTATTAAAATTTTGAAAATTAAAAACCACCCACACTTTATTTGTATTTCTAGAATGAGGAATAGGAAATCTGAGTGTCAAGCTGCCAGGACAGGCCATGTGTCTTCTGCAGTATGGGTTCTTGAGTAGCCCTTTAAGCTAGACCTTGAAGGTAGCAGCCACAAAAAAAAAAAGGCTGAATAGGGCTCGCTCAGCATTTTTATGAGTTTTAGAACTTCCCGTTGTACCCTACTATTTATTACATTGCTGCTGCTGCTGAATCAATCAAAATAAGGAAGCCCTCACATGTCACAATAGCCAAGAAGTGAGATAGTCTCTATATCAGTGACTAAGCAAGTAAAATTATCAGGAAAAATTCAACACTATTAAATAGATAGAGACTGCAGTAATTGTAAAACCTCTGCATTTACTCACTCAAAGCTTTTTTTTACAAGTGATCTTAGGAAGCGGTTATATACAGCTAAGAGTTTAGATATTTCTGAACAGGCATCTATTAAACAAATTTTGCAGTTATCTTTAAAAAAAAAAATCGTTATAATTCTTAAATTTAAATAGACTTTTCACATAAATTTATTTTTTAAAAACATTTAAGAACAATCAAATTTCATCACGTAAATATAAATAAAACAGTAATGAAAACCTAGTTATGAAAAAGTAGTACATTTTTTGGAGAGGAGGGGGGAACCTGAAATGAAAAAAAATGACGTCAGGATCATAGAGTCATTGTAAATACCATGATTCTTTCATTAGCTGTATAGTATATGCTTCACCAGAGCTACATATGGTTTTTGAATTCAGAGTTGTCCTTCTCCTAGACTGGTTGCCACCCAAGACTGAAGACCCTAGTCTGTCCTTCTATTTACCCATAGTTGGAGATTTTGAATTAATTCCTTCCATATATTGGGGTTGAAAGTTGGAGAGGCACTTATTCATGTATAGTATGTCTTGGGCAAGTAGTCCTAGTAGAGGCCAGCCCTTACCAGGTCAAACCACAGCCTGATGGCTTGTCTTGATCAGATATATGTGGCTGTTGATTCCATCTGGGAAAGCCTCCACCTTAGCTATTGACTTCAGTCTAGGAAGCCTCACCCCACCCACCTCAATGAGACCATGTCACCACCACACTGGGTGAATACTTAGTTATGGAGTCCATCTTCTCCATTATGCTAGATAATTGTTGACCATACAATCAATGTAATCAGAGACATTGTAAACTGCACAATTCTTTTATTAGCTGCATAGTATGTACCTTGCCAGGGCTAAATACTGTTTTAGAATTCAGAGTTGTCCTTCTCCTAGATGAGTTGCCACTCAAAGAGCTCAGTTTGCACCACCATCCACACATAGCTAAAGGAAGAAGAGATGGATTCACACCTTTCACAAGGATATTTGTACTTAAGTGACTGTAATGACCCTGACTGGAACTTGAACTCGGCTCCCTGCCTCCTCAATCTGAGCCACTATCCATTACCATAATCTACATTTTTCTTTGAAGTTCTTGAACTACTGCAAGCCAAAATTAAAAATCTTCCAGTGGAATGATGAGATTTGAGATCAAACATGAGTTGCCATGATACAGTATCAGTTGGATATGCTACAAGCTTTACTATAAAGTCAACTCTCCAAGTCTTTGTTCACCACTGCAGAAGCCAGGTATTGAACTCACAATTCTTTGAGGCAAGATACTGGAGGACATCACTGTATGAATTTTTGGGACTTTAAACTTAATGTCTCAAAAATCATTGTTTTACCAGAGCTCATATTGCAGTTTTTGTTATTATTGCTTTTCTCTAGCACTCCGTATTACTGGTGCCCATATTGTATTCATTTCTATGCTTGGCCAGCTTAGATTTTTGTGGCCTAGCATATGTGCTGATTCCTTAAGTTTCCATATTTTCCAGTGATGTTTTCTGTCTATTATTTCAACCTCATCCCACAGGGAGCAGCAATTTCCCTTTGCCCTATATATCTGGTCAGCTACGCCTGATTTTTCTATTTCTCCTTGTGTTACTGCTTTACGAAGTTCTTGCAGTCTTACCTTACCGGGGTGGCCTGTTTCACCCTTCCTTTCTTACCACAGTTGCATGGGATGGTGTACACAGTCCTTAGTCATGTTCTTTTCTGGTGGTGGGGGGGTCTTACTTGGAAGAAGTATCTGTGAAGTGTTGAACCACTTTTGAAAGTCATCCTGATGTTATATGGAACACAGATCTGTATTTTTTCAAATAATCCCTTTATATAGGGTAGACAGACTGTTTTCCAAGTGTTATTATCCTCTTGTACCATTCTATCCCACTTCGTTGGAGCTGCTGTCATGTACCCAGGATAGTTGTTATGTTGTAGGGTTATAGCGACCATTTCGTGTTCATATGTCTCTGAGTCGCTACTTAGGACTTTTGACCAATATTGTAGGCAGTGGACAATCCCTTTCTTTACACTGTATGGGTGGTGGGACTTGAAGTTGAGGTATTGTCCAGTAAATGTTTGCTTGTGGTATACAGATGTCTTGAACCCATGCTCTGTTCAGGATATTAGTACATCCAAGAAGGCAAATTTGTTGTTTTCTCTCTCCGTTGTGAACTGTATTGATGATCTTATTGAGTTCACATGGTCCAGAATGTAGCTGGACCTCTTCCTGGTGTGGCCAGTGTATGAAGGTCTCCTCTACATATCTCAGCTTTAGGACTGGCTTTAACGACATAGATTGTAATGCCATTTCTTTGTGAATATGGCAACAAAGATGAGGACAACAATGTAAATAGTGTAAATAAATACCCAACTGTTGATAAGTTTTATTGAAGATCAACTCTAATCTATATATGAGTTACAGATCAGATATATGTGGCTGTTGGTTCCATCTGGGAAAGCCTTCACCTTAGCTATTGACTTCAGTCTAGGAAGCCTCACCCCACCCACACTGGGTGAATACTTAGCTATGGAGTCCGTCTTCTCCATTATGCTAGATAATTGTTGACCATACAATCAATGTAATCAGAGACATTGTAAACTGCACAATTCTTTTATTAGCTGCATAGTATGTACCTATGATCTTTGATAAAACCTTTCAACAGCAGGCTATTTGCCAAAAGAGAACCTGAAATAGATGGCTAAAAAGCTCAATAATAAGAACCAAATTATTCCATTTGATAATATAACTTTAAAATAGGCATTTACTGATGTTAAAAATGAAAGCATATTTGTTAAGTTCTTACAATTATTAGCAACATGACTTTTTTCGTGATTTTACTAGAAGACTCACATCCTAGGTATCTCCCTTGCCTTTGTAAGGCAAGGGAGGTAATTAGTCAAAAAAAAAAAAATGCAGATGAAAAACTAGTTGGTATATAATACAGGGTGCAACAGAAATACCTCCCAAATATACCTTCTACATATGAGGGTTGTTCTAAGCCTCATCCAAAAGGTGTTGGAGAAATGAGTTTTTCATTATTTTTTTCAATATCATCTCCCTTGACATCAATGCACTTGGTCCAACAATGCTTAAGTATTTCAACCTTATCACAGAAGAAGGTGTCATCCTGGTTCTCCAAAACCTCCTCCACAGCACATAAGATCTCATCATTGTTTCCAAAATGGCAATCACGCAGGTGGGATTGAGTTTAGGAAACAGGAAGAACTCAGATGGAGCTACGTCCAGCAAATAAGTGGGCAGGGGTAGCAATTCAAAGCCACAGTTAGTTGATTCAGCTTCTGCAATCTGAGGAGTCTGAATGGACGTGTTATCCTGGAGCAAGAGCACACCTGCCCTCAGCTTCCTTCTATGTTTCAACTTGATTGTTTCCTTCAGTTATCATAATTCTTATGTATAGTAATGTTTGCTAATAGTTTTCCTCTTTTTCTGGTAATCTATCATGAATATGCCTTTAGAATCCCCCCAAAACAGAAACTGTCACCTTGCCAACTGATGCTGCCTGATTGAACTTCTTCCGATGTGGAGAACCAAAGTCTTTCCACTGTTTGCTATGAATCTTTGATTCACATTCGAAGTGGTAAACCAAGGTTTCATCTTGAGTTACTAATCTGTGATGGAAATTTTATGGTTCATCCTGGAAACAAGTCAGAAGTGTCCTGGAAATGTCAACCCTTTTCATCTTCTGCCTTGGTTTCAGCATTCTTGGGGCCCATCTTGCAGACAGCTTGCTCATCCTCAAGATCTCAGTCAAAACAATATGAACTGAATCAGAACTAATGCCTATGGAGTTAGCTATCTGCTGGACAGTAAGATGTCTGTCATCCCAAACCATACAGTGAATGGCATCAACTTGTTCATAAGTGGTTGATGTTTTTGAATGACTTGACCGAGGGTCATTTTGTGTCCTGTCCCAGCCCCGCTTAAATTCTGCAGCCCGCTTCTTTGCAGTTGCATAAGGAGTGTCGTCAGCAAATGTTTGTACCATGTCTTCATGGATTTTCTTGGGTGTCATACCTTTCTTTTGCAGATATTTTATGACCGCTCTGGCCTCTGTCTTGTACATTTTTAGATTTGTAGTACACGTCTCATCTGCACAAAAATTAAGATTGAAATCTGAATTAGTTTTTCTAATTTTATAAGAAGTGGTAGCATGTTGCCACAACAAAAATGTTTAGTTCTTTTTGAATGATCCTTGTAACTATTGCATCAATAGTTTTACTATTGATGCAATGATGCCTTATCTAATAATATCTTACCATTATGTGGGAGGTATTTCTGCTGCATCTTGTCTAATACTATCTCTGTTCCATAACAGTAATAATGAAATTAACTGTTTCTATTTAGGGAACATTTGGCATTCATTGACCAAATAGTTAATGTTACTGTTGGTTGATATTTATAATTTATAAAATCTTTCTCTTAAAAAAATTCTTCAAAAGAATAGGATTCACTACTGTTATTGCTAATTTCTAGTATTGATGGGAGTTTTCTGCCAAGTCTTTTGTTTAAGTTTAGTGTTATAAACTTGAGCACGGTATTACAAGAGAACAAATGAAAGAACAAGTAAGGCAAAAAAGAGAAGGAGACAAGAATTGTTAATATAAAATTCTTTGTATTGATGATACAGAGGATATGAGTGGAATGTCTCTTTGTGGGTAAAGAAAGCAACTTGGAGGAAGAGTATAATTGGTAGGCCTTGGAGTTGATGCGTGTGTTGTTATGGTTCACCAAGGTCACTGGTGGTGATGTTGACAGCTTGCCTGTTCATTACAACTCTGTTAACAGCATCATTGGCAGTGTTCTTAAAAGCAGATAGGGTGGATCATGACTATTTTTTCATGTTTTTTCTTTGGCAGCAATGTTTGTCAGTGATTAGCTCCTTTTATATTATATTTTATATCTTTTTTTTAGGGATTTGTTTTGTGAGCTGGACGTGATACTTGGAGTAGCTGTGCAGAGGACAAATTTTTTTTTAGTTTTTCTTTCTTAGTGTTCACATCCAGTCAACATGTAAAGTGAATTGGAAAGAGATCTAATAACAAGATATCTGGAAGTGAATTGGAAAGAGATCTAAATGGAGTATAACAGTATGTAAAGTAACATCTTAATTATGACATTATTGTTCTTTCTAGTTACATATACTACCCGTTTTAGTTATTGCTGCTATTGGAAGTCTTCAAGTGATGTGATTTTTCTGTTACATTTAGTGTATGAAATATATATGCAAAAGTAACAACTATTATGGGACTGAGATACTATTATGCTTTCAGCTTTATAGAGACAGTAGAAACAACTTTTTTCTATTTTTTTTATTTGGTCGAGTTAGCTCAGACAATCAGGAGTCTATATCATGCCAACCATCTTGGTCCTGTATCAAGGTCACAATGTCATTAGGGAGGCATTCTGTGTCATAACATAGGCAGTCAATGTAGGTAACTGCTGGGTGATCAATCTATCTTGCTCCATGGCTAAGTGTCCAGACCAGTAGATCACTCATGATGTCTTGTTTTGCTCATCAGCAGTATCCTGCAAAATGCATTCCGTGTTCGTGTAAGTTTGTAGAAATATCAGGGATGGGTCCATAGAGTTGTGATTTAGATGTATGTTGTCTCTCAGCATTCGAGTGTAGGTTCCATCAAGCTTAGACTCCAGGGTTTCAATTAATGTCCAGGCAATTAAGACCACCTCTACAGTTGCTCAAAAGAATCTCTGCTTGAGGTTGTCTGGCAGATCATATTTCTGGATTACATCCATTTTATTCAAGGTGAACCAGGCTTTAGCTATGAGAATTTTTTTTACATCTTTTTCAGTAGAATCTTTTCGCTTCCTAGGTATGTCAAAAATTCGACAGATTTTTTTCATTCACCTGAGACAGGTTGCATTGAGCCTTTCTGGTTGAAACCTATGAATAGAGGCATTGACATATAGTCCAACATTGTTGTCAGTATTTTCTAGATGGAGGAAAAATGTGGCATTGGTAATGGTGTCTGCAGTGATAGCTCAGTCAAATTCAAGTTAATAATTTCATGACTTAATAACAATAGAAAGCTGATCCCTCAATTTATGTCCAATAGAATATTTTATTAATAGCATTTTAAGCATTCTGTCAAAAATTATGGCATCTTTTCTGAAGTCCTTTCTATTATTGAAAGAGTTGGAATTTCATAGACACATAATAAAGAAAGGAGGTTTGGAAAAATTGACACTCACAGGACACATTGAAGGCAAGATAAATTGATTTGTTTTTTAAGGTTTTAAATAACTTTTTGTAGGTTGTTTAAAGCCATAAAATATTTTTAGATTATATATAAGAATTCTTTTGGTGATAATGATTTATATCTTTTTCTGTAGAATTTATCTCACTTTCTAGGTAAGTAAAAGATTCAACAGATTTGATTGATTCACCTGAGACAGTTTGTATTGAGCCTTGCAGGTTGAAGCCTATGAATTCAGTTTCAGTGGCATCGACAAAGTTTTTTGATTTAATAAAAAGATGAAATTAAATGTTTTTATGAGAAATCAATAAAACGGAGGATAAATAATTATAGATTTTAATTGCAAAATATCTGTTTTCATAAATTTCTCTTTTATAAAATTATTTTTTTGTAATTATATGGTTGACAGTGACAACAATAAGACTTATTACAGACCAAACCATCACAATCCATATCCATATTTGGTGTCTAAAATAAGACTTTTGTTTCTCTGGCATTTGGTTATTTATCAGCAAAATGTCTTTTCTGGCATAATACACCAACATTGACGGAATAATGTATTGTATAGCGGCACCAGCATAAGAACCTGTTATACCGACTAAAAAGTCAACCCTGTCCGTAACCAGCGCAATGCTTAGTGGTGGAAGTAAAGCCAGGAGGGGGAAGACAATTCTGTCAACAAACCAAGAAAATGGACGGTTTTTGTTAAAGAAGAGGGTTTTTAAATTATTACGAAGAGTGACTGCAATAATTGGAAAGTTGGAACTGAGAGTGAAAACGGGGAACAGCACGAGAAAATACTCAATAAATTTGATGTTAGTGATTGCTGTTTTGGAATCCTCACATGGATTTGGAAGAAAGTTCAGTGTATAAACATCTTCAATGTGCTGGAAAGCAAAAATGCCTGTGAATGATAACAATGCATAGAAAATTAAAGCAAGGATATAGTCGCCGGTAAAGAGACGAAAAATATGTGATTTATTTTGATTGGTGTCACTAACGAGGTAGAGAATGGTGACACATAAACGAATAGACGACACTCCAAACAGACTGGGAATTTCAGTAAAATCGGCAGTAGCAGGTTTTCCTTTCCCTTCACCTTTGGACAAACGAAGTAGGGCAAGAACTATCATGATGATAAATGCTGGAAAAAAAACAAAAAGAAAAAACAATGAAATAAAGTTAAATGGTAAATAAATATAATAAAATCTAGAAAATAAAGTTTTCAAGAAAATTATACACATTTTGTTTGTGAGAGAACTTTGCTAAATAAAGGATATTCCAATAATCTGAACTGATTTTAAATGTGAATTAAGTCTAATGATTATTTTTTTTTCTTTCAGATTTGGCAGACATTTAAGTGCTATTATTTTTCACACATAATTGCCATGACTCAAATAACATGATCCAATATAAAAATAAATAAATTTTCACCAATGATTTATATACTGCTGACTTTGATCCTTCTTAATGAAACATCCTTATATATAATCCTTCTTAATGAAACACCCTTTATATTTTATGGTTTATAACAGGAAGGGGGGGGCAACTAAAAATAAGAACTAAATGAGATATCCTGAGAAATGGGCAGAACAAGAACAATCTTCCCCTGGAGCTCAAATAAAGGGATCAGTTCGAAATTGCCTGTAGGTTACCTGGATCAATATACACATCTGATAAAGGCTGTAGAGCATAACACCGGAAGCATTGTGATAACAACAACAAAGACAATAGTCCTAATGTAAAAGTGTTGTATCATGAAATGGATAAGTCGATACATATATAAAAAGTAGTTGTAATTCATTCAGAAGAATAATACAGTATTAACAGTTGAGAACACAGTCTAGTGGAATAATAGTCAATTATTTATGATATATTGGAAGGTGACATTAAACAATTCTATCTTCCCTTCTTTCAAGTGTATGTCTTTTGTTTTTCTATGCAATCAAAATGGAATAGTCAATTATTTATGAGTTATTTGAAGAAAACGTTAAACACTTCTATTTTCCCTTTCTTTCTTGCCAAGTCCCCATCTTACAAATAAATCTCTTAATAATAATTTAGTAAAATGATGTTATTTTATGGTAATTGTTTTTTGATGCTTGCCTTATTTGGTTTCTGTCATTAGTGATTGTCTGTAAAATGACACTTTTATTGCAGTTGCCATTGCTATTTGGCCTTTTGGCTAAGATCAAAGTGTAGTATCTGTACTTATCAGCTTAATCTGATTCTCACTCACCACTTCTATCTTCCTTTGATTTCTCACTGAAACCAAGTAGTGTCTTTTCCCTTCTTTTAACATGATCAAAATAGAATAGTCCATTATTTATGAGGTATTGGCAGGGTATAATGATCATGCAAACTAATAAAGAGATGGACAAGCATAATTATAATACAATATTTGATGTTTTATTTTTAAAAAAAAACAACAGAAAATGTGCATACAAAGCAAGAGGGACTTACATGTCCATCTGAAAACAGATGTAAAGATTTGAAGTAATCCAGTCTTCTGGATGTTAAAAAATGTAAATGGCCCCAGGCACAAAGCAAATAGAATCTGTCAGAAGAAAAAGAACAGGTTTAAAATTGTGATTTTTGATAAATACAGCAATTTGTATGTAAAACTCTTAAAGTTAGTTTATTCCAAATGTAATGTCATCTTGTATAAATTCCTGTAATTTTGTCCATGTGTCTCTACTATACTGAACGGAATGGTCTGCATCATGAACATGGTGTTCACAGATTCTCTTTAAAATGTTCATTTCAGTTTTTCGTCATCTATAAACAGTGGATATATGTTGAGGACTTGTTTTGAGTATCACCTCTTATATACACAGTATGGACTGAGAAGTCAAGGACAAAAGTATGCAGGGGGAGGAGATAAAAGATCACCCTTCAGATGGTGAGAGTTGGTGGGAGAAAGTGAAGTGTGGTTTACTCAAAACATATTCAGCATCCGAGATTATCAGACTGCCATCTTGCAGCCAAGATTAGCTGACCATCATCTTGAAGCTGAGATTAGCAAACTGCTATCTTGCAGCTGAGCTTAGCTGAATGCCATCTTGTAGCCAAGCTTCGCCGACTGGCATCTTGCATACAAGATTACCACCATCTTGTAGATGGGTTTAGCAGACTCCCACCTTTTAGTGGAGAAAGTCACTAATAACCCTTTTTAACCAATATTCTTCCAATTCCAATTTCTTCCTATTACTTAATTTAAGCTATCCTAAAATCAAAGTATCTCATTATTGAAAATTATAAAAAAAATCCAGCCACCCCTTTTATTCAAATCACATTGTCTATTTGAAATTCAGATGTAGACAATATAATGAAAAAAAAATGCCTGTTTTTAAAATAGTAAGATGTTAGTTTTCAAAAGATTCAGGAATTAAGTAACTTACAATAAATATTTGATAGGAATGCCATCGATTAAGATTTAAACTTGGCCAACATGGATCATGATCTTTCAGTGTCCGGTTACATTTGGTTTCATTGTTGAGTTGGTATGTACTGAAATGGAAACAAAAAAAATTATTTAAAAATTAATCAAAGATGTTCAATATTCAAATACATCATCATCAGTCCCATGACTGGATGTGGTAACAGCATCACTGTGTAACTGAGCACCTGGCCAGTTCCTTAAAGATATCTGGGTTGAAAGTTGAATAGGTATTCATTCATGCATAGTTTGTCTTGGTGGAGCCTCTCCCTCTCCAGGTCAAACCACAGTCAATATTCTACAACTTGAATGCTCGCTTTGGTCATGGACATGTGACTTTTGATTCCATCAGGGGAATCCTCCGCCCTGGCCACTGATTCCATCAGGGGAATCCTCCGGCCTGGCCACTGATTCCATCAGGGGAATCCTTCGCCCTGGCCATTGACTTCAGTCTATGAAGTCCCCTGGCCAGTGATGCTGTATCATCATTGCACTGGTTACCAAGTGGTCAACCCAGATGTCCCCCAAGGGCCACTTCTCAGTCCAACCCTCTTTCTACTTTGCATAAAAGATCTGCCCAAGAGTATACTCTGATCATTTGTGAATATCTATGCTGATGATATAATGGTATACGAATGCACCTGCAAAACCCAACAGGACTAAAGCTTTCCAGCTGATCTCTCCTTTGACTTGAGCTCTCCCTGATGACTATGATCTTCAAATATTCAATCAACATCTGACACTCTGAAATTGTTCCTCATCCTCCTCTATATCCTTTCCCCAAATACGCCTCTTTACTTCTTATTTTTTATCCTCTGTAACCCCTTATTGTGCTAGTGGCACACCCGCCTTGCTTGGGGTGATTTGCCAAAAAAAACAAAAAAAACCCCAAAAACTAACAGCTCAGTGGAGGGAAAAATGGCTGGTCACATTCAATATCTCAATAACCAAACAAGTGACATTCCATCAGTTGGGAAGAACAGGTGTTCCCTCGGGGAAGCCCAGTGTCTTGAGTACCTATTAGGACTTTGTAAATACAATCCATTGCAAAAGAGGCTGAAAAAATTGTTGGTTCTCTGTACTGCTCTAGTAAGTACCTGACTTCTCCTGCTATCCTCTACGTTTACAGATCAGACCTAAGATACTGCTGCCATATATGGACAGGAGATGCCCGATCTTCACTTTCTACTCTTGATAGAGACCAAAAGCGCCTCCGCATTCTTGTGGGTGACAAATTATTTTTCATCTCTGCTCTATTGCTATTTCCATGGTGAGTGTTCAAATGAACTACACACATTAGTTCCACCCATCCTAACCATCATAGCTAAGACCTGCCATGCTATGCACATTATATCAAACCACCTTCATTCTCTTCATATTCTTTTGATGAGATGTAAGTTCCACTGGAGCAGATTATTCCCACGAACCACTGCCTTGTGGAACTGCTTGCCAAGAGGTTGCTTCCCCAATCACTACAATCTTAAGAGTTAACCCTAGACTTGAACAGGTTATCTTCACATATCTGCATAAGCTGTACCTCTTAGTCTGTAACCCTCTACCTTGATGTACAGGGTGAATAGCATTGTAAAAAAAAAAATAATTGTTATTAGTGCCACCAGTGTTAATCAGTCTTGATTTCATCCAGTCCAGGGATTGAACTCAAAATTAATGTCACCAAATTCAAGAGGTATGCACTTGGGCAAAGTGAGAATGAGGTGAGCAATAACTGACCAATACTAAATAAGAACTAGATTAGATATCTGTTATGGTAATTTACCCATGCATGCATGGACTCTCTCAGCTATAAATAGGAGTAGGTACTGCATTTTGGAGAGAGAAGTTTCCAGCAGTCAGCTCTGACAGTCGGACCAAACAATCTTGCTGTAACACTCTTGTTTGTATTACTGTTTCTGTTAATATATTTGTTTAGCTCAATTCCTCTATTATATCTTTAATTCTGGCCCTAACAAGGCCACAACAATATCCCTAGACATAGACAGTAGAACAAGTACAATCTACTCTTGTAGATTAAATAAAGGGTTCAATTCAAAATTCCCTGTAGGTTACTTCGATTGACCAGCATGGGTAGACAGTACAATATCTGAAATGTTGCAACAACAACAAAGATAAGAAAAATAATCAGCATGAAATAATGTAAATAAGTCTTTTGATAATTTAGGCTGGTTGACATTAATTTCACTAATTTCTGTGAAGGATAGTTATCATTATTTACACTATTTAGATTTGAACTATTGTCCTCATCTTTGTTGTTATACTAATATTTTGGATCGTTGTGATCATCGCCTTCATCAGGTGTATATCAATGTGGGTAACCTACAGGGAATTCTGAACTGAACCCTTTATTTAATCTACAGGGATAGACTGTTCTTGTTCCACTGCCCATACCTAGGGATATCTTGTCTAGTTCTATTTTTTAGTGATAACAACAACAAAGATGAGGTTAGTAGTCTGAATATAGATATTTTTCAGTGTGCCTATGTTGCTACCAAATGTGACACAAGGTTGAGGTTTAAAGTGGGCTTAATGATAATACCATAGAAAAATTGCCCAAGCCCCATTGGCACTTCCCATTTTGGGGATGCCTCAGATGCTGGGCAATAAACCCAGCCCCACTCCCAAAATAAGGCTTAGTAATAAGAAACTTACCATGCAATATCTCTAATTGATTTTGGAACCGTCACACCATAGATAGCCAAGTCTCCATACAAATAAATAATAATACAGAAATAAAATGCCGAAACACCCACTGAAACAGATAAAAAATAGAATCTTAAAAACTGGTACAGAATAGATAAAATTTGGTAAACATGGATAAACATGTCTGTAATAAGACAGTTTCAAAGAATAGTTTTTCCCATGACAACGTTTTTTTTTTTTTTTTTAACTACTTTCACTCTTTGGAAATGTTTGTTTTTAAAAAGCAATGATTAGAATTAGAATAAAACCTAAACATGATGAAAGTGAATCTATACATTTTTTTTTTGTTCTTGAGAAAAATATTAAACACTATTTATTTATTAGATTGTTTATTTACAAGAATAATTCTATATTTACATCATTCTAAAAAAACTAATACAATTAAAATAGGTACCTCCAATAATTCGCTAAAAAATCAGTATAGCATAATGATAAAATGTCTGAAACTTAATAAAAACAAAGTTTCACCATTAAAATGTTTATGTTATTATTAAGAGGAAAGAACAAAGTATTTTTTAAAATTTTTTTCTTCTTTCTAACATGTTCTAAATTTGGGTCAAAAATCTCATTTTTTTTCTTAACTTTGTAAGACTTGTCGTCATCGCCACTTTTTTAGTGTAGCAGTTTCAGGGGAAACCCATTAATTTGAAAATTTTTGCAAAAATCAAATAATTGCCTAATTTAAATAAAAATTTCAAGACTTATTCAAAAATGAATGAATTTATTTTTAAAATTTTTATTTTTATAAAATATTTATTTTTACATGTTACCACCCCATAAATTAATTTAATGAAATTTTCTAGAATTTCAAAGAGTTTGTAAATTGTTTTATCTTACTTATAAGCAAGTCTCCTTGAGAAATTAAATAATCAATTTTTTTTTTCACAACTACTGCCAACTTTTTAAAAATCTGCTCCAAATCATAAAATAAAAACTGCAATAAACTATCTAATTATCAAATTAGATAGGCTTTTATTTGCTTTTATAACTAATATACATTAAGGACATTATTATCTGATGAAAAAAGTTTTTTTCAATGAATAAAGTATTTTTACAAGAATTGTTTGCATTTTTCTTTTAATTTTTTTCATTTTTCTTTAATTTTAAAAAATGTTTTAAAATTCTTTCATGCAGAATGTGGGGTCGGTTATTAAGTTTTTAAGTGAAGACTATATTTACTAAGCGAAAATTAAAAGCTTAATACAAATAATGCTACCAAAACATTTTTTTTTTTTTTTGCGCGTCAAAATGTTATATTTTTCTAGTATGATATCTCATAAGTGACATTATGGTTAAAAGGTCACGTGTTTCAAAGCTTGTCTCCTCTTTGGAGAAAACCCCTTGATATGTAAAGGTCTTATCTCACTCTCAGTTATTAAATTAAAAATTAAATTGAGATAATAAAATTATCTCATTTATCAATTTAAACACTTAATAAATCAGTGAGATATTTTAATTATTAATATAATAATAATTTTATTAGTTATTATCTCAGTTATTAAATTAAAAATGTAATAACTTAATGTAATATTAATAATTAATAAAATTAGTTATCATTATTTTAGCTATTAAATAATGAAAGAGATAGAGGTAACTCTATAATGTAAGAAATTTTTATAGTATTTTAAATTATTATAAGAAGCAAAAAAAACCGTTATGTCACTTTTGATGCACCGTACTAAACCTGTCAACCCATTCAGCCATCAAATTATCGATGGAGACGTGAAAAAAACTAAGACCCCGAGGTCAAGAAATGTTTGTCTAGATAATTTTATGCTATAAGTAAGTGATTTTTGTTTCAGAACAGATTAATTTAACTTTAAATTTGCTAATTTTACAAAAGTAACATTTCAGAAATGTATATCTTATTTTAGCAGGATTTTCAAAACCGAAATTAAGTTTGTTTACATTTCTCTAAAAGAAGTTAAAAATGGCTGTTTCGATTGGTTTTTCGGAAGCATCGACTAAAAATCATTCAAATTTCTATTTGAAATACTCCACAGTATATTTTTTTTCTGGAATTAGAAAATTTAATCTTTTAGCTTTCAAATGAAGTGGTTGGAAAGCATCGAAAATGATTTTTTCATAATGGAAAATACATTTAAACCTTAGGTATGCTGAATTTTTGAAGGTACCTAAATTAAAACTAATGCAATGCAATATTTAGCATTTACTGATTTATAAAGAAATAAATGTGAAAATTTTTTTTTATTCATAAATTTATAAACTGTGGTGATATGCAAATGAGATTGTATATAATTGGGAAGAGTTCTACATTTAGGAGGTAGTTATCTTTCCTTGACTACACTGCATACTTGAGAGAACAAATACATGACAGAACAACATGGCATTGCCAATTCGATATCTAACTTCATTAGAGGATCCTGAGGTGGATGAGATGTTTTGTGCTGTTAGCAAGAGTCAAGACATTGAGTGACAGCAAGGACAGAGGATGAGTAAATATAGTAATAGATTTATTTTTAGAAAGAGCCAGATATTAGGTTGTAAAAAAGATCTCCATAATGGTCTATCCAAAGATGCTAGAAGATTTGATGTTTGAAGATATTGCCAACATTGTACAAGCAAATGTACATCCAAAAAAGAAATTGGTCATAGATGAAAGGATAGAGTTTCTTGAAATCAGGCAGAACCCAGATGAAATCATTTAGGTTCACAGGCTAAAAGAAGCATCAAGGTACCATAAATTTGAAAAGTTGGGTACAGGTCTGATGTCTATAGAAGAGTAATTAGTACAGTGAAAGCTAATTGAAGGACTCTATGACATCATTAATAAATGCAAAATTTGGGAACAGCTTCAAATCCAGAACATGAATACTGAAATGAGTTTTGAATTTTTACAGCAATTAAAGTTAATTCAGAGATTTAATACCCCTAAGACTAACATGGAGACATACAGTACTATGGAGAGTTTACGTAAACACCATTTTTGCAACAAAGAACATGAGAAAAACAAGTATAAATATCCGGCTTTCTGAAAGATGTGTTTTAAGTGCAACAAAAACTATTTCCAATCAGTATGCAAATATAAAAAAAACAGTGGAAGTGGAGAAGAGAGATCCCCTGATAAGAAACACTGAAATTTATGAAGTAAAAGCGAGAGATAAGAGTAGAGAAAAGGTAAAAGTAAATGGAATGACTGTACTCATGCAAGTGGATATGGGCAGTGAAATAACCTTAATACCCAAGAGTTTTGGGGAGAAAATGGGAAGACCAAAATTAAGGAGGATCTATCTGCAATTGAAACAATTTGATGGATCAGTTATTAAAACACTTGTATGCTTTGAGGGGTGTTCATAGTTGTGGAGTGTGTAAAAGATCATGGTCTCCTGAGGGTTGATGAACTGAGAATAGACACCTCAAAGTTAATTAATTGCATGAAATTAGAAGAACTTTTAAAGGATTATAAAGTGAGTGTTCAGCTCAAAGAGAATAGCCAACCAATATATTTTCAGTTTTGTAAAATTCTGGTTCACCTTCTGCCTTTGGTTATGGCAAAACTTAATAAAATGATTGAACAAGGAATATTGGAAAAGGTCAGCCAGGGAGGTAGCAAGTGTGCTTCTCCAATCGTGGCCATATGCAAAACCTATAGAGATTTAAGGATTTGTGGTGACTACAAAATTGGTGTAAATCACCATTATGTTCAGACTCCTTCCCATTGCCAAATATTGAAACTGTCACAAGTTTGCTGGCATTAAATTTTTTGCCAAGTTTGATCTGGGATCTGTATATAATTAGATTAAAATTGATGACCACTGTCAAGAAGTCATCACAATAAACACTCCTATAGGTCTTCTAAGGTGGACTCGTCTGTTTGGAATTAAAACATTCAGCCATATATTCCAAAAGGCTATCGAGAAAGTTTTAGAAGGAGTAAAAATATCATTGCCTATAAGGATGACATAGGTATTGGCACTTGTACTGAGGAGGAGCTAAAGAATAAAACAGAACAGATTCTGAGCAGATTCAGTAATGCAGACATGACAATTGAGATAAGTGTAAATTTAATTGAGAGAAAACTTCATAATTAGGATATTAAATATCTAAAGATGGGATCTCACCAGATGACAGAATTATTATATAGCAGAAATAAGTACACAAATAAATAAGAAAGAGTTAAAGTCATTCTTGGGTTTGATTAACTTTTATAATAAATATATATCTCAATATAGTGACATGGCTGAACATTTTATGAACTTGAGAAAGAAGAATAATGAATTTCAGTGGACTGAAAGACAGGAAGTGGCCTTCAAAAAGCTAAAGGAAGCACTTAGGAATAAGCCAGTAGTTCAGGTATTTGACTTGACAAATGAACTCATACTGACTTCTGATGTGAGTGAATGTGCCACAGAAGCAATCTTATCACAAGAGATGACATCCTATTATGTCACTTATTATCCAGAAAGTTGATGGCAGCGTAGACAAATTATTTGAACATTGAGAAAGAAATGCTGGTGATTGTCTGGAGTACTGAAAGAGTGTGAAATTTATTACTGGGTTAGAAATTTCTACTAAAGTCTGACCCATAGAATTTATTTTCAACCTGAGGAAAGAGTTGTCTAAAGTCATGTCCTTCAGAATTTTGAGGTAGGCAATTAAGCTTATGGCATTTGATTTCAACATTATGTATAGTAAAAGAAATGCCATTCAACACATAGACACATTGTCAAGATTGGATTTTAATACCCAGAATGTTGAAGCAAAGGACAGTTGTGAGGACAGATGTTTTATCCTTCAGACAGCTCAAGTTTAAAACTGAGCAGGACCCAATATAGAAAAGAGTACAGAATAGAATATGGAATAACACATGGAGCAATTGTTCTATGGTGGAAAGGACTTTTAAGGAAGCAAGGCACAGATTAACAGTTGAAAGAGGAGTCACATGCAGTAGAGATCTTATTGTGCCACTAAAATGATTAAGAGGTTATTAAAGCAGTACACGGTGACATATATGGTGGTGTATTGAACACAAAATTAAGGCTGAAACTACAAGTCTGTTGGATAGGGTATATGCAAGATGTGGAGGATTATGTCAGAAAATGTCCTAAGTGTGCAAAGATAAAGAACTTTAAACAAACCAAGATTCATTCATGGCCAAAAGAGAAGGAGCCATGCATAAGAGTACAGTAGTATTTTTGAGGAACAGAGTACCTAAGACATTGGTGTTGGATAATGTCTGAGAGTTTGCTGAAGAAAGCTTGTGTACATGGTTAACATGAATTGGATGTAGGTCATACCCCATACCATCCTCAATTAAATGGAATTGCAGAGAGGATGGTTCAGACAATAAAAGTGGGACTGAAAGCATTCTCTTGAAAGTTATCTACTAAGACTGCCTTTAAGTTACAGGTCCATCCTCCATGCGGGCAGAACACAAAGCCCCTCAGCATTAATGGGAAGGTAAATTAGAGCCCCAATAAACATGTCCTCCTCAACAAATGAGAATGTATGGTACAAAAGGAACAAGAATTAGAATCCTGAGAAAGAACAATTTATAGTACAAAATGGATTTAATACAGCATTATTAACAAAAAATGGAGTTGGTGTGTTAACTCATGAAGTCCAATTTAGATTGCAAAGATGTCCGGAAGTTATTGAAATGGAGAAAGAGCCTGTTGCAGAACAGAGGGATCAGGATTATCACCAAGAATTGGAAAGTGAAGAGGGAAGAGAGAATGACTGTGTCTAGTGATAATGAGGAACACGAGGAAGGTTCAAGTGAAGAAAATCCAGTAATACCGAGATCCCCCATACAGAGGACTCTAGGCAATCACCATGAGACAAGCGGTACACCTCCTGGAGTGGTTCATAGAACTAGCAGATCTACCAAGGGTATAAAGCCTCTAAGTTTCCAGGAGATGCGATGGTATGCAAAGGAGGTTATATATAAGTGGGAAAACTTCTTCACTTGTGAAGTAGTTATCTTTCCTTGAGTACATTGTGTACTTGTGACAACAAATACATGACATAACATAAATATTTACTAAGTTATTAAAATATGTGAACCAACTATAAGGAAATCATTATTTACCATTTTATAAAGTTTGAATTGGTTGGCAATTAGCCAATGTTTTGCTAACCATTCCAATGCATGATATAATAAATAAATAGTGTAAATAAACAATCTAATAAATAGTGTTTATTATTTTCGTTGTAAATTCTCAAGAATAAAGAAAATGTATAAATTCACTTTCATTGTATATTTTGGTTTTATTCCAATTCTCATCATTGCTTTTTAAAACAAATATTGCCAAAGAGTAGTTAAAAAAGCAGGGTCATGGGAAAAACTGTCCTTTTGACACTCTGTTTTATTGCAGGCATACTTATCCATGTTTGTTCAAGATTTTATATAAAAAACATGGTTAAAAAGGTTAGTTGTTTATACTTAACCATTTTGTTACATTTTAGTGTCTATGGTGAACTGACTCAGTTTTGTGACTGAAATTGTAAAGCTTAATTGAGTCTAAACATTTACTCAATCCTTTTTAGATGAGAAAACAACAATGAATATTATTATTATTTATAAATTTTTGCTTGTCCCTCCCTCAGTTTGCACGACCATTATGCCCTGCCAATACCTCAGAAATAATGGACTCTTCTGTTTTGATCACAGTGGAAAAACGGAAAAGACATACAGAGACACTACTTGATTACAGTGAGAAAATGGAGAGAAGAAAGAAGGGAAGACAGAAGTTTTTAACGTCTGTTTCAGTGAAAGGGAAAAAGTTGTCAATTTCAAATCTTTTCATTCGTACCTCTTTATTTCTTAAAATAATGACCAGGATTGATATTATGATTGTTATTGCAATACATTTTGTTAAGGTTGTTAATCTCAAATATTTAATGATGTGATAGGGGATTTTCTATGGATTGTTGTAGAATTCATCATGAGCTTACTCAATCATTAACTGAAGAATTAAGAAGATTCATCAGAAAATGAAAACAGGAAAACTGAAATTTTCATGGCTCTTTCTAGATTATTATAAAATTCTGCTTGTCCCTCCCTTAGTTAGTACGTCCTGCCAATGCTTCAGAAATAATGAACTATTCCATTTTGATTGTATGAAAAGGTGGAAAAAACACATCCGATACACTGTTTGACTTCAATGAGAAAATGGAAGAAAGAGGGTAAGATAGAAGTGTTTAACAGCTATTTCAGTGAAATGGAAAATCTTGCCAATTTCAAATCTTTTCATTTGTACCCCCTTACTTCTTAAAATAATGACCAGAATTCATATTTATTATTGTAATTGCAACATTTTGTTAAATTTGTTAAACTCAAATATTTAACAATGCAATGTGACAGGGAAATTTCTATGGATATCTTATTGTTGTAGAACTTGGCATAAGCTTATCCAATCATTTACTTAAGAATTAAGATTCATTAGAAAATTAAAATAGGAAAACTGATATTTTCATGGGTATTTCTAGTTATTTATAATGTGAATAAAAGAGACAAAGTGAATAAAATATTTGAAACAAAACCATTTTGATGAAGCTGATGGGATAGTTCATTAGAAAAAGTCTTTGTCCTTTGTTTTACTCTGAGAGTAAATCAGACAGTGATTCAAGATAATTCAAAGATAATGACAAAAGTAATGAAAACTCTGATTCTCTTGGAGCAGCTGATGAGATATATTGTTAACATTGCAGTTCCAAGTGGTCAGTTAAAGAAAGAATAAATGTATACATGATACAATGTTTTAGAATTAATGAATAAATACATACCTTTATTAAAGAACATTGATGCCATCTGACCCTGTCAAAATATTGATAATGTTTAAATAGGATTTGCAAATAAATAGAATCTTACAAAGGCAATAAACACAGCTATCTTACTGCAAATTGTCATAAGTAAATCTGTTATACTATGGACACCCATATAGAAAGGGAAGAGATGGTTTTACCTTGATTAATGGTTCCTTTTGAACTTCATCCTTCTAAGTGGCATCCACTTTAACTAAGGGGAATGGAAAGTAAATGGATTTTTGGAGATCAAGTGGCAACAAAACCGGAAATAGGGCATATCCAGATGCAGGTCTATAGTAATTGTCAAGCTTGGGATCAGAGAAAGTTCTGGTTTGCCCTTGGCAGGACAGGGACTTGTCTATCGCATGGTTCCATGTCATCCATTTGTATTGCAAGCCACCATGTCAAGATTAATAGATAGGCAGGGAGTTGGTAGGGGGAAGAGCTGAGCTGCTAGACCAACATAGCAGAAGTTGTCCCAGATATCACCTACCTGCCTTGACAAATCATGGATCTTGCATCAAGTGTAAGAGGCATGTATTGAACATTTATGTCAGTAGAAAGACGATTAAAGATAGACTAGCATTTAGCATACCAATGTTATGGTGAGAGCTGTTAATTTTGTCTCAGGAAGTTTTTTGGCTATAAAAAGAAAACTGAGCAGAAATTCAGTTACCTAAATGTGATTCCGTAATCTATTCACCTGAAATACCTGTCATCCTTTTTACATAGCTACTTTCACTAAAAGATGAAAGTAATACTGATACACCAGATGATATTCCTAAATGTGATAGTGATATGGATTATGTAGTTGTTTCAACTACAGGGTTTTAAAATTTTGATCAGGCAGAATTGAATGATTTGCTAAGAGATTCAAGCCTATCAAAAGAGGTATCAGTGTGATACTATGAACAACCCCAGCCATAAAATGGTAAGAGGGGGTTTTATCTTGATCTCAAGTGTTTCTGTTTGATAGACCAGCAGATAGTTCCTTTTGAAGTTCATTCTTCTAAGCAGTATTACACTTTAACTAAAGAGAAATAGGAAGTGAAGGGGTGGATAAGAGATTTTTAGAGATCAAGTGATAACAAAACCGGAAATAGCATCTAGGGATCTAAAAGAGTGATGTTCAGGACGATTTTCATCAAATCAATAGTTCAGCCAGAAACATCATAACCCTTCAACTTGTGATGAATACCAGCAAACCAAAGCATGTCAAATGCCTTCCAGATATTTACAGCAACAGCCTGAGTTTCTGTATTATCTGAAGCTTGACACAACTTTTTCAGAAATAGCTATCAACACATCAGTCATTGACTTACAGAAATAAAAGCTATATTGTTTGTCTGAAAGAAAATCCTGTGAAGTGAGATACATAATCATTTTGAAGATAAGAGCCTTTAGAAATCAAGTATATGTCACTCAAAGCTCAGATTTGGGGGGTTGAATTTTCTCACATTATTATTTTCTTTAGTGGCTTAAATTTTATATTTCATTTCTTTCATTAAAATGTCTAAAGTATTTTGGTTTTGACTTTTCATGAATTGAAGCTTAAAAATTAAGTCCATGTTATAATATTAAACATAGAAGATATTTTTATTGGTATTTTTTAAAGAATGTATAATTCATTGATTTAGAAAATGACAGATATATCTTAAAAAATATCTACCTCTTTGATTCTTGTATAAACTGGATCAATGTCTACATCTTTTGACTTTTGTATAAACTGGATCAATGTCTACATCTTTTGACTTTTGTATAAACTGGATCAATGTCTACATTTTTTGACTTTTGTATAAACTGGATCAATGTCTACATTTTTTGACTTTTGTATAAACTGGATCAATGTCTACATTTTTTGACTCTTGTGTAAATTGGATCAATGCTTACTTTTTCAACTCTTGTGTAAACTGAATCAATGTCATTTTATTTTACTCTTATGTAAACTGGATCAATGTCTACTTTTTTGTCTCTTGTGTAATTTGGATCAATGTCTACTTTTTTACTTCAGTATAAAGGGAACAATTTCTAATGTTTAGACTTTAGTGTAAAGTGAAAAGATTTTATAACTTTTTTTACTTCAGTGTAAATTAAACTTTCAACTCTAGTGTAAACTGGACCAATTTCTACCTTTTGAACTAAAGTGCAAACTGGACCAATGTCTATCTTTTCAATTCTAGATATACATAGATCCCCACTAGCATCTGTCACCTAGGCAGACAATTTCACTCTACACTAAATTCAACAAGGTAGACAGGTCCACCTTACAGCAGCCAAAAAACATTTTTTTTATGGTTACTATTATTACTAGTATTAGTTTTAAATAGCAAAAAATATAGATGACTAATAATAATTGAGAATACTTCATGTTGGAATTTCTAAACTAGTGATTTCTGATAATTAGTCTTTTTCATTATACTGGTAATATAGCAACAACTCTAAGTAGAAGCTTATGAAACTTTATTTGACTAATTCAGCTTTAGTGCTGAAAACTTTTAATATATTGTAATGGATGGTTACAAGCTAGGGGGGAGATGGGATGTGCTTATTACCAAACTGGGGAGAATAAAATTACTGGTGTGATAGATTACTAATCAAGAAAGAGATAATTCTCATGAAAGTATTGAAAATTTCTAATCAAGATTTCAATAACATTTGTAAGAATTTCTTATTTGATAAATTCAAGTAAATTTTACAAAATAAAATTATCAACTTATTAAAATAAAATCATGAAGTAAAGAGAATAAATTTTCAACACTATAATTGAAATCAACTTACCATTTCTGTCCTTTCCGTAACAGCAAACATGTATGCATTTTCTGAAAGGATAGTAGAAAAAACTGAATGAATCTCTCTATCTATAAAAGGCAAGATGTGTATGTGTGTGTAATGAATGCACAGCTGCAATTTTCAACGGATTTGCACCAAAATTTACATGCACATGCTCCAAGTTAGTGGAAAGGCCAAGACCGACTTTGCATTTCCCAACTCCCATCGATAGTGGAAATAATCGGCCATTTCCTACTGGCCAGAGTGAGAGCCTATAGCTGGCTGCCACGAATAGTCAGGAAGATTCTATTGGCAAGCATGAGAGCCAACAGCTGACTGACACAAATGTTAACTAGCATGCTAGCATGCAAAAAAAAAATCGAGAGCTGCATTCGTCACAAGTGGGAAAAATTTAAATCTGCATGGCACTTTACTCCAATTGGCTCATTCGCTTGCTTAAACTCAATGTTGATTCTGATTCTGCAGAACTGGGTTGGGTGTGAAAAAGTATTTGTTGTTAACATTCTTTTTCATTCGGTTTTCCAGTTACGAGTCCTTTTTAAAGCTGATCATTTTGTGTTCATTTTGTTTAGTTCTTTTTTCGTAACAGATTTAATGTTTAGTATAGAGCTTAGAAAAAATTTGCAGTATGAGATAGGCAAGAAGTAAGGCATGTAGCAACATCAGCATGGCAAAGGGCACTCCTTTAAAGGCAAGGAAGGGCAAAAATATTTTAAGTCAAGTGATAGCGATTACTGTATGAGTCATATGATTTTTGAATCAAGTACTGGCAACACCGGGCCATGCTGCTAGTAGATGAATAAGATTCACAGTACACTAAAATCTACGTGTGTCATGTACCAATTATATTTCTTTGAAATGAGAGTTATGTGAAAAATATGCTTTTTTTGATGATTGCTAAATTTAGCTGAATGTGGTTAAGCACAAATCTGTGTAGTCAGAAATGAAGAGAAAATATTATATCAATTTCCAAATTGCCAATACACACTTGCCTTAAAAATCAGCATTTAAAATACCTGCTTTCACCTTGGCATGAACACCTTTCTATTCTAATCTTTTATTAACTAAAAAAAAATCATTTTGCAAGTATTTTGTGTTCTATACTAAACAGGAAAACATTAAAAAAATTTTAACAATTAATGCTTTTGGTCTCAAGTAATTTGAAAGTGTCATTCAAATGAGTCAATTGATCATTGCAGTTTTTTGCAGTAACAATTGGTGAGCAGGCTTCAGTAATTTCATTTCTAATAAAGAATCTCATGAAATGTTTTTGTCTTCAGCAGGGCCAGTGCAAGGGTATCATGTCCACCCCACAAATCTACTCCATCTCAATTTTCATAAGCTAGTATTCATATATAATACAAATTTTGTTGTAAAACAATGTACAATAATTGATCATATGCAATATAGGTGAACAATTCAGCTAGAAAAATTGAAAATAAATACACTGTATCTAAATACAAATTAAAGATGTCATCTTATTATAAAACGCAGATTGTGTGTGTGTGTGTCTGTACGTTTATATATTGGATTGGATTTCCTACACTTTTCAACCGATTTCAACAAAACTTCACAGGACTACATAAAATTACCTTGTGGTGGTTCTGACAGTGCCAAAAATTGGAAAAATACAATTGTTTTTGCACGAAATCAATTTGAAAACACAATTAAGAGGCATTAATGAAAGGGGGACAACTCATATCGAGTTATACTTATTGCTATCGAGTTATACTTATTATAAAACCCAGGTTGGTTGTTTGTGTGTGTATGTGTGTGTTCGTTTATATATGGGATTGGATTTTCTACATTTTTCAACTGATTTCAGCAAAACTCACTTTTTTTTTGGCAGGTAGTGTTTCTTATTGTCTTCTATTCAATCAGTAGACTCAACGATTGAAAACAATGTTTTTGTTTGAGTTTGGGTTTGACCAATTCGTAAAAAAAAAAAAAAAAAAAAAAAAAAAAGAAAAACTAATTAAGACATGCGTGTCCGTCAACCTTAAATAATCTTTGTCAGTTTTATTTTTCAGTCTTTATGATGGTCGATACTTGATCTATCTCTTATTGTTATATCCCCGGGCAATGCCAGGCTCTACTGCTAGTAACAGATAAAATAAATCAACAATGTTTTGTGACAATTTTTAACACCAACTTCAGATTTTTCTTGTTAAGAAGTTGAATAATTTTAACACATTCTACATCATGGATAAAAAATAGTAAATTTCATATTGTTTTTTTTTTTGAGACTTAGCATGAGCAAAACAAATTCACAGATTTGGATGAAAAGAAAAGACCCCAGAATGACGTCAAAATCTGCAAAGATTTTTCAACCTTTAGTAGTCAGTTGTGCTTAGTTTAATTTGTAATGTATATCAATGTAGGTAGAAAAAAAGCAAATGCTGATAAGATAGCAAGGGTCACAATGTACTTCATTTGAGATTCTTGTAATAAATTCATTTTGTCCAAAAATTACTTTATAGTGACCCTAAAAATTCCTGTTCTTTTCACACATTTGAATAATACCACAGCACAGTGTTAGAGAGAAAAGCAATAAAAGAAAAAAAGAACTGGTTTATTAAACTATTAAATTTGAGATGTTCAGACCATGTGACCTGATTACACAAGCAAACCTAAAATTATAAACAAAATTTAATTGCCAGTCATCAAACATGAGAAGCTCTCTGGTTATTTTCTTATATATATATATATATATATATATATGATATGTGTGTGAGAATTATTTTCAGAGAGAATGTATCTTTAAAGGAATAAAATGAATAAAAAGAAAAGAGGAAAATCTATTCTTAGCCAATGTGTTTTTTTTTTCTCTGAAGGACTTTATCAAGACGAATGTAGGATTTATTTTGTTTCATGTGGTTATATATAAGAGCAAGCTTTTAAATCTAAGAATTTCATCAGGTGGTTGAAAGGTCAGTTAAAACATATGGAGGACACAAAGTGCCATAATTCAAAGTCTGGCAAGAGAAAAGTAAAAAGTATTCAAGAAATATTTTTTTCAATAATTGAATATCCTTTAAATTGTGATCAAATTGTTAGGATTTATCATGTATGTATGTGCTGTACATCTTCAAAAACATAAGGTAATGAATTTAACTAACAAAATAAATCCTACATAAAGTAGATAAAGTGGCTAGATAAAGTCCATCAGAGGATGAAACACATCACCTAAGAATATTTTTTCCTCTTGTCTTTTTATTCACACACACACATATGTATGTGCACACACACCTGTATGTATATGTGTCTATGTGTATAAGAGTGTCACCCCAAACAAACACAGAAGTAGATTCCCTTCCCACCACCACCAAACATAGTCAAACAAGCATGAATAAATACAATTTAAAAAAATAAACCAGTTCGTCTGATGATCGCAAAAGTGTGAAACCCAGTGTCACAAACTCGTATCCATACAACTATATATATATATATATATATATATATATATATATATATATGAGAAAAAAGTTATGTTGTGCTGAGAGATTTGTAAATGTGGCTAAGATCAGCCATTTTTGGTGATTTCAAGAAAAAAAAGTGACTCATTTCAATCAGTTTGAATTCCTTTTGAGGTGGTAATATTCTAAGTGTAGTTTAGATGTGGCACAAGGCCGAAAGTATGGGTCAGCCAATGAGGATCAAAATTATTACTCAGTTGTAATTGTTGTAGCCAGACAAGCTTGCCAACCATCAAACCATGATTTTCTAGGCGTAGCTTAGATGTGGCACAAGGCCAAAAGTATGCGGCAACCAGTGAGTATGAATCTTATTTGTAATTGATCTATTGAGACAAGAGTTCTTTTTTGTTCTTTGCTTGTTGGAAGTGTTAAATTTGATCTATTGGCTTGAGATTGAAACTAGAGTGATGGTTTTAGGTGGGATTTTTATTTTGGACCTTGAGTGTCATTTTTCCTTGGAGGTACCTATATATTTCCAAAAATAACCCTAACTTAAGAAAACATCAGAACATTCAAGAAAACAAATTGCCCTAAAAGAAAAAAAATAATGAAGAAAAGGTTTTGTCAGTGTTAGCAGAAATGATATTGTAACATGACCTTTGACACTCAGAGCCAAAAAGAGAAAAAGAAGAAGGAATATGTGCAAAGTGTAAGACAAAAAAAATGTTGGAAAGGAGAAATAATATTTAACACATACATGCACACACACACACACACACACATGACCTTCTAGCCATCAAGTGCAGACTTGCACTTCACCCAATATCAATTGATAATCTTTTAAGTAAACACTTGAATAGATAAATAGTGTTTAACATTTATGTTGTCAATTCATTAGAAAAATATGTATAAATCCAGCTTCATATGTTGTAGTTTTATTAAAATTCTAAAAGTAGCTATTTAAAAAAATATAACAAAGGGAGTTCATGGTCCGAGGGCTGTGAATAGAGAAACATCCTATTTTAACTTTGCCAAAAAATGTAATAGATTATTTTAAACATTAAATGCAAATAAATGAGATTTAAGAGTTTTAATAGTGACTGCAATATAAGGCACACAAAATCTAATCTAATCATTTCATCCCATTTCATCCCAAGCAAGGCAGTGTATCCACTAAGATGTAAGGGGTTACTGAGTGTGAAAGAATCTGAGAAAAAACATTATAGAGAAAGGACAATAAAAGAACAGGAATTAAGAAGGAAGAAAATAATTGACATTGTATTAAATTTTTGAAAATCAGAATTGACAGGAAAACAAGTAGTTGGTAGAGTGTTCCACAAGTGAGAAGTGTAAGAGAAGAAACTGTTAGCATAGATCTTATGGTTACAATTTCAACAGTAAAATGATGAGACCTAACTGCCAATCTAGTACTGAACTTAAATTTACCAAAGAGAAAAGCTCATTAGAACAATATCTACCTTTTTTGACTGTTGTTCTTACTTTTTTAATAATTTCACCCCAAACAAGGCAATAAAGCAACTAAGATGCAAGGGAGTTCTGAGTATTAAAGAATCTGAGAAAAAAAACATTATTAAAGAGAGAGAATGATAAAAGAACAGGAATTAAGAAGACAGAAGATGGCAATTGACATTGCATTTAAATTTTTGAAGATCATAGTTGACAGGAAAGCAAGAAAAGAGTCCCACAAGTGAGAAATTTGAGAGAAGAAACTGTTAGCATAGAACTTACAGTTACATCTAGCGGCCATTTCAACTGCAAAATAATGAGACCTTGTCCCCAATCTAGTACCATGATTAAATTCATATTCTGGGTACCATAGTGGAAAGTTCGTCAGACCAATTACTATGAAAGTATTTATAGAAAAGACACCAGGGAAGATATTACAAGTATCCTTCAGACACATTGGTGGGTTGACCTGATAGATGACCTGCTAGCCAACAAGTGCAGATTTGCACTTCACCCAATGTCAATGGATGCTACCCAACGTGTAAACATGAGGTTGCCTCAGATGTGCATGATAGGAAAAACAGCATAATAGATATACAAATATCTACAGGAAGGTACAGGGCTATGTTACAGTGGTGGAAAAGTGACAAAGTGAGATAGCAGGTCAGAACTGATAACATGACAGATTCTTTGTATTTTATTAAGAATCTCTAAATACGTAGTAGAAGCACTTGACCAGATATGGCAGTACTTATTCAGTGCTTGGAATAGAAGATTAATAAAGGTGTAAGATAGATTAGCTATGAATCTAGGAAAACATAACTCTGAATTAAAAACTGGTTGGGCAGGAGCCAACAACCCCACCCTACAGAAACCACAGCAATGGCACCTCGCATGGTGAGCCTGTAGATCTATTCTCCATAGGTTAATGACAGGAGGAGAAGGAATGTACGTTTTCATTGAATTCGGTTTTCTTTCTGAGCTTATGTAAGCCCCTTTTATAAAATTTAATTGATATAAGTTCTCTCCCCTTGTATGCAGAGCAGAATGAGAACCACTCATGGTCTGAATAAAGGGTTCATTTTGAAATAACAAGATGTTTATAAACTATAACAGACAACTGAAGAAGGGTAGAAGGTACAACAGCTGAAACATTGTTACTATTACAACCAGTATTGCCCAGTTCACACTCCTCCTTGATCTTTTGAACAGTAGTGGTGGTTTATCTCTTGTTTCCTGTTTAGGATTGGTTTTCCAGTTCTTTCCAAAGTCTACTTCAACTATATACTTCTAATGTCTCTGCCTGAACTCTGAAATTTTATTTACTAATTATTTATTTTTTCCTCCTCAATAGGAGTCAATAGTTTCACCTATCGCCCAGTTTTAAACCCTCCCTGATTTTTTGAACAGGAGTAGAGGTTTATCCTTTGTTCCCTGTTTAAGATTGGGCATCCAGTTCCTTCTAAAGTCTTTTCATTCTCTCTCACTTCCAGTAGCTCCTTGTATCTTAGTGGCATTATCAACTTGCTTGGGGTGAATTCATAAAAAAAAAAAAATATTAATAATGATCCATTACTAAAGATGCTGGAAAAATAGTCATCCTATACTGACCCCTACCATGCTTTATACCAGGCATGGGCAACCTTTTTCAGGCAGTGGGCCACAAAGGCTATGGCACATCACAAGGCGGGCTGCACTATTAAAAAGATTCAAGGTAATTTTTCACAGTAGGTACCTCAGCTATTTTCATTACAGAAGACCAGTATACCTTAGAAATGGGGAGGAAAAGTTGATTATTTCTTTTCTTTAGAGATCAAAAAATTAAATTAAAAATCAAAGTCTTGGTAGATTATCACTGATGACAGAGTAATTAACATATGTTGCTACAGGTGATTCATTTCTAATTTATTCATTTGAAAATGTAAAAAATGTATATTTTTTCTCCAGAGAAAAAAATTATTATGAATGTTTATGGTTTCAAAAGCAAATCATTTTTACACATAATCTTTCTTAGTAAAAATCTCCAATGATTTAAAAAATGATGAAAAAGATTATATGAAATTCAAGCAACATTGTACTTAATCATTGTTTGTGTATGTGGTTATATATGAGAGAGTGTGTGAGAACAAAAAACAAAAACATTACTTTCCCTAACATTGTACATTAGGAAATTCTGTGTTAATATCATATATTACCTGTTTCTCGATTTATACTTGTGTCTTCTTCAATAAGAGGTGAATCTTCACTAGGTTCATAGGTTATTAAATCTTTTTTGTGGGTCTGAAAGAATAGAAAGAAAAAAAAAAACAATCAAGTGACAAGTTTATTAAATATTTTTCATAATCATTGGTTCTGACCTGGCAAATTGACTTCAATTTCCCATCATCATAACATAGCTCCCTTCTGCCTTTTCTATAAATATTCTTATGGTAATTGCTCTAATGAATTTTACTTTTGTATCTTGTGTGGAGTGAGTAGCCACAGTCAAATGCAAAATAAGTAACTGCCCAACAAACAGAATTGACAAAGTTTGCAATAACAAGAAGAGAAAAGGGCAAAAAATAATATAAAGCAAGCAAACAATATATACAAGGCAAAGCAACAGTAATATGGCAAAAAGTTCACAAACTAAGAATTGGTGTTGACACACAAAAGCAAGTTCAGATAAGTTAACATAGTGTTCTGACTTCAAGACAAGACAAACCGGGACTAAGTCAGATGAAACTGAGAAGTGGCCTATTTTATTGGCTAGGAAAAAATCCCAGCATGCATTTGTGTGCTTCTGCCAATAAAATGGGGATGGGCAAGTATTTTGCAGTCATTCCCAAATAGGTTGAAACCAATGCCCCCATCAATCGAATGGATGAGTGGATTCATTTTACCTCCTACAATCCCAACCCCCAAGGATTTTTCTGCAAATAGTTGCATCATTTTCTTCAACTGGAAGTAAAGAATTGTCAGATGCAGTAGGATTTCTAAAGTTTTCAGTAAATTTTACACACTGACTTTTCATGTTTTTAGTTTCAGATAAAAATATTAAACTAGTTTAAAAGTCATCCTATTGGGCAGCATTTAAGCTAGGCCCTGCAGAAGGCTCTTTATTTAGCTCTTATCACAATAGTTAGGGAGGAGTAGATGTGATATACAACAACAAACTACAGAACTCAAAATTGATTGCTGCATTTAAGTACTGCATTAGTATTTAAGCTTACCTTTTAAAAGTTCAATAATTCTTCTGTCACCACTTAATTTAAAGACAATTTGATGTACATAGGTCCTTACTTTCGATACAAACAATTATTTTTATTTCATGGGTGACTATTGCTGGATTTTGCAATTAATTTGATTAAACTGAATCTTCATTTCAGTTTCTTTAAAGCTTTGCAATGCTATTTTAAATTCACTAAACATTAATCAATTGTCTGAGTAATAACAGTTGCAAATGATTTAAAATCAGATGGGAGGCCTTTTAGAACCATGGCTATTAGTAGAGCATCGATAATTACCTCCCCGGAGACTTTTTAATAAAATTTCTGTATCTTCAGCTCTAATAATATAATCAGTAATAGCTTCAGCACTTGCTTTGCATAAGGAGGTTAATTCAGTAAACAAGGAAATTATTTTTAGTTTTATGTTTGATAAATTGTGCTCTCTCAAAATTTGCAGTACTTTTCTATCATTATTAGGGGCTTCTCTCGTAATAAGAGATATCCTTTGATCATTGAGAAATTGGATTAATTCAGCAAATGCATTTGCATTCTTTTCACAGTACTCATTGTCATTTTGGATTTGCAAAAAAATAACCTCCCATAGTTTATATTTTGATTCATCACATTTGAAACAGAGTCTATTCTTGGGCTGGTAACCCTGTTCTAAAACAGAACTGTCCAACAAACAGAATTGATAAAGTCTGCAATAAGCAATAACAAGAAAAAAAAGAAACAGGGCAAAAAATAATATAAAGCAAGCAAACAATATATGCAAGGCAAAGCAACATTAATATGGCAAAAAGTTTACAAACTAAGAATTGGGGTTGATACACAAAAGCAAATTTGGACAACCAAATGTAGTGTTCTGACTTTAAGACAAGACAGACCAGGACTGAGTCAGATTAAACTGAGAATTGGCTTATTTTATTGGCTATGAAAAAATCTCAGCATGTATTTGTGTGCTTCTGCCTATAAAATGGGGAGAGGCAAATATTTTGCAGTCATTCTCAGATAGATTGGAATCAACATCTCGACTTTATAAATTTAATTGTAGTATTTGATTGGCAGCTAGGTTTAATCTTTTTTACCGTTGAAATGGCTAAGTGTTAATTTAGTTCTTTGCTAATGGTTCCTTGTGTCTACTTGGTTTCCTGTCAATTCTGATCTTTAAAAATTTAAATGCAATGTTAATCATTATCTTTCTCCTTGCATCCTGGTCTTTTAGTTTTAATGTCCTAATGTTTTCTCAGTTTCTTTCACTCTTTGTAAGCCCTTGTGTCTTAATGGCTTTATTGCCTTTCTTGGGGTGAAATAAAAAAAAAAAAAATAAGATAAAATGTCCATGGGTATGTAATGAGAAAAAATACTATTAAGGACTGAGAACAATTATTGAGAAAACAGGTCATTGAAACTAAAAAAACAGGAATTAAGAAAACAGAAGGTAATGATTGACATTGAATTAAAATTTTTGAAGATCAAAGTTGGCTGGGAAGCATGGAGCCAAAAGAGAGTTCCACAATGAAGAAGTGTGAGAGAAGAAACTGTTAGCATAGAACTTACAGCTGAATGTAGCCATTTCAACTTCAAAATGAAGAGACCTTGCTGCCAATCCAATACTGTGCTTGAATTCATAAAGTCTAGGTACCATAGAGGAAAATTCATCAGAATTGTTAAGTGTCAATAGAAAATGAAGTATTGAGAAGGAAAGAAAATTCTCATATTTTTATATTTGTGCAGCTTGTTTTTCATTGGTTAAGAAGACCTTGTGTGTGTGTCTTGTTTGGTAGCATTGTGTTTGTGTGTATAATTCATCTATGTATGTGTATCATAATTTTAGCTGTCTGTGTAGGAGATATTTGATAATGTGTGTACATATGTATCTGCATCTAGTGGGCATTTTGATTTCCATCTGCTAAAAGTTTGTGTTGTTGATTGGGGGAAGTTTTATGTCAGAGTGAAAAAAAACTTAGGCTACACAGGTTATTGCTGTAGAAAGATTAATCTTAGATTCTTTAAGTATGGATTTTGTAAAAGTTAGTGGTATAATAAAGTGTGTCTTGATGGGAAGATATTTATCAGGATGGCATTTATTAAAAACAAAGATTGGAAAAAACAAAAACATTTCTTAGTTATACATTTCATTTGTTTCACCTTGGTCTTAGAAGTCTTGTTGGATAACTATATATATATATATATATATATATATATATATATATATATATATATATATATACACACACAGGTCTGATCTAAATATTAGGACTGGTGTTATAAAAAACAACTATAACACATTATTTTGGCGTTTAATCTCCTTTGAAGTAGTTCCCTTCTGAAAGTACAGACTTTGTCCAGCATCACTTCCACTGATGAAAGCATTACTGGAACTCCTTTCTTGGAATAGCCAGCAGGTGTCTTGTCACATTCTCTTGGATTTCTTTGACATCTTGAAATCCTGTTCCTTTTAAGTGGGACTTGATTTTTGAAAAGAAGAAAATGTTACAAGTGGGTCAAGATTTAGGGAATATAGTGGTTGTTGAATGTTGTGTTTAGAAAAAAAACTGCTGCACAAGCAATAGTGACTGATGGAACCTATGTAATGTGGTGAGATGACCACATTCTACATACTTTCCTTCCAAGCACTACTAAAAACAATGGAAGTGAGTGAGAACATTATAACTTAGTGTATATGTGCAACAGAGTTTCAAGGTTAATCTGTGTCAAGTGGCTTCACTCTGTGTACTTTAGTTCCATTAACATAGCAACAGTTCCAATTTTTTTTTTAATCAGGCCATACACACATTTTTTATATATATATATATATATATATATATATATATATATATATATAAATAAATAAACATACACACACACACACACACTACAGGCAAAAAGTTTGGGGCCCACTATGAATTTCTTTAAAAACACACCTTAAAATGAGATATTTTTGTATTTTTTAAGTAAAAGATAAAATTTTAGTAGCTAGTGTGCTTTTATTTTGACAAAAAATAAGCACTTAACTATAAAAAATTATCATACAACAGCATCATATTTTATGTCTGTCAATAAAACCACCACCTGCCTGAATTACTGCTCTACAAATTCTTGGTATTCTTTCTGGCAGGTTTTGAAAAAAAAAAATAGATAGCAGACTTTACCAAGCATTCTTCAAGCACTGAAAAAAGCTTACTCATTGGCTTTTCTCTTTGAACTCTCCTATCCAATTTATTCCATACTAATACAATGGGAGAGAGGTCATGAGATTGAGGCAGCCAAAATTGTTCTTTTTTTTTTTTATTAAAGCAAAATTAGTTCTTCCAATTAGATTTTTTCATATTTAGAGATAAATAATTATTCATTTTATTCAGTGCATTTTTTCTTGCTGCGGTCAACACTCTCCTCCATCTAACAATTGTAGTTTATAGTGACATTCATGGCAGAATAATGCAATAGTTTGCCATTTCATTTTGCACCAGGGATGTTGATGTTACCTTGTACCTCCTCTCAGAGATGGATTTGTTTTTGAAGTTACCTTCTTCTTATCTGTCTAAAGAGGCAGGACCTACAATGCAGCAGATGTTTTGAATTCAGTTTCCTTCTCTTTGACTGGTTAACAACCAAGGCTACAGAAACCAGTCTGTTATACTATCTTACCCATAGCTTGGGGAAGAAGAAATAGATTCACTTACATTAGCATGTAAGTGAATGCAATGAACTTGACTGAAATTTGAACTGGGCTCTCCAATTCCAAAATCTGAGTCATTAACCATTATTCCACAAATAATAAATAATACAAATATCTGAATTAAAATCCTTCAATGTTTATTTTTTATTATTTTGGTTTCATTTCACTCAGTTATGTGCCATGCATAATACAGGCTTAGGCGATCATGTATCTCTTGATACATGACTGACAAAGATTTTTTCCCCACAGTAGGTTGTGGTGGACCAGGTGACATCCAAGGCTATAGAACCTGGTCTGTCCTGCTATTTAGCCATAGCTTGTGTGAGAAGAGGATTCATACCTTTCCCAAGGGTATTAGCATGTAAGTGAATGTAAAAAAAGAAGCAATT